CTGTTTATACATCACAGCTCTATATGAATCATAGAAACCTGGGAGAAACGCTTTATAGGGTCTTATCAAAAGGAGCAGCATAGTAAAACCACTGATATGTTGGGGCCTTTCCACTTCTTCCTGATTCCCATCTAAAAACGTAATCGTCCAATGTCTCCTTTTCACTGTCTATCCTGCCTCTAGGTCACTCCAATGTCACAACAGTCGGGATTGTTTTGCCCAACCTCACACAGACACACACAGATAAAGTTATGTGCTTGGCAGCTTGGAGTGAGGCAGAAAGATATGGAACGAGAGAGCTGGAGGCAGAAAAAGTCAGCGGGAGAGAAGGGTTGAGAAAATAGATGAAAAGGAGCATCAGAGAAGGCTGGAGGGAGAACATAAAAGTGGTGCAACTGTGATATAGTTGCGTACATGTATTGGGCCCCATTATAAAAGGCACGTGACAGCTTAATAGGACTCTAGCTGCCAGGATGAAAAAAGTGGAGTTATGAACAGCAGGAAGTGTGTGCGCGCACACACAAACACACACCCATAGATTCTCTGTAGGCGTCACACAGCTGAGTAAACTATTCAGAGGAGAACAAAGGTTCTCATTAAATTGGATCCTGTGACGCGTATTGATTTCTCTCCATAGACTTCACAACGCCTATTGTTCGGCGATCCTCACTTCAGATCTCTGCTGTCATTGCTCTAGCAAACATCCATATGTAGTTTTGTGGTGCGTTACCAAAGGGTTAATTACATACTTGTAAGCAATTACTCTTTTAATGTAGCATAGAATCCCTCCTCCCTTCAAAATAAAATGTTGATCAAAACCATCAAGCTATAATGAAATGTCATCTGAACAGACTTTAAATCGTACATTGCAAGTTTGAAGCCAAGGTCAAGTCCATACAGACAAGATAAAGACAATGGTTCTGTGCGGTAAGTTAAGGTCTAAGATACAACTGTAACTGAATGGCTACAATTTAAAAATGCTATTCCAATTACACAATAAGGTGTTAAAGCTCATTTCTCACCCTTAACCAAAAACAAATATTATGACTTTCTGACAAATAACAACGCACCCCCCAACATTTATATTTTCACATTTGTGTTAGCCCTGCAGCCATTGTTAAAATCAGTCTGTACGGTCCTAAAATATGGGAGACCGATTATGGTGTGAAGAACAGTTGGTGACACGGAAATACAATTTGCAATCTTCTCTGTGGTGTTTGGTGGCATGGAAGGGGAGGGGGTCTAATTGGACACTAGCCTGCGTCTGGTAGTCCTGTCACAGCCCGGAGGGGTTTTTAAGTGTGTGTGTGTGTGTGTGTGTGTGTGTGTGTGTGTGTGTGTGTGTGTGTGTGTGTGTGTGTGTGAGTGTGAGAGAGAGAGAGAGAGAGAGAGAGAGAGAGAGAAAAAAAAAGAGAGAAAGCAAGCAAGAGAAAAAGAGAGAAAGCGAGCAACAGAAAGAGCATGAGAACAAACAGAGAGCTCCATTCAGGTCTAATCCACAGACACATCATTCAGTCTGACATGACGATACATCTCTGTGACCAGAGTATTCATATAGGGCCTCGGTCACAGATGCATCATTCACACCCACACAGACACATAAACACACTTCTGCTGAGTCCTGCCCAGGCATCTATATCACTCTAAGATCTCAGTTCATATTCATTCAGTTTACCTCCCTTGACTTGAACACATTGCAAAGATTTCCTATGGAGCTTGTTCTTGTAAGTCCACCACCTCCAAAATGTAATGAATGTCTTAACTGCCAAGGTTAGAGTGAGAGTTTATCCATTAGCAAGCCATAATATTGACAGGGCCGTGCTCTCCCGGTCCAAACTTCCGCCTTGTAGCCGTAACATTGGCCGACAGACAGGGGGTAGTATGTCAATGTGAGGTGCTTACAGGCCGATAAAGGCTGCTGTTCCAATTCCTATAGGCAGGCTTGATGGACAGCACACAGGCAGAGAGGGCAGGGGAGAATCGTAAGTGAGAGAGGGAGATTGCAAACTGCCAAATGCCCCTACAGGTTTTAAGAGTTTTGAACTCGGAACAATGGAATTTGGTGAAAGGACAAGGAAGCAAGATGAGATAGGATTATCCAACTGCTCAGGGACTAAATGTTTTCCCCTTGAGACCTTGAGCAGCAGAACACAGCACAAACATATTTCAAAAGGACTGACACTGTAGACTGCAACATTAAGGAATGTGTACACATCAACATTGAAAGCAGACTCTCACACATCAGTCTGCCCTGCTAGCCACAGTCAGGTTGACCCAGACAAGCAAAAAAACTTCTCACTGCAGTGAAAATAATTTGCCCTGCGAGGGACCTACTGTAGTTCACCTCACAATTGCAAGCCACACACAGTTAAGCAGCAGCTTATAACTTACCCATCAACCAACATAATCTAATGTTTTGCTGTCAAGTTTGTTTTCAGCTGTCTGTCAAATAACCGTCAGAGTGACTTGAATGAGTACCAATGCAGATTATCTCAACTAGGAAAGAATGATATCCAATTATATCAATGTTTGACCCTACCACCCAGAAACACATAAACATATGATAATGCAATACAAAAAACGATGCAAAAGAACATCTGCGTAAAGATGATTTTATTATTTCCCAAGAAAAAACATGTGTCTTTTGATTTATTTTCCAACATACACTAAATCTAAATTGATGTCAAAGAACACCATGTATATGAAATCAATATCCACTATGCCGGCCTGTGAAGCCACACTGCCCCTCATGGTTTTTCCAGGATATAGCCTCATCCCTTAAGGCATGCTTTGAGTGTACACTAAACACAAGTATGAAATTGGGATAATAAAACAAAAACAACACAGTATCATCCCAGTATTTGTAGTGCATCTGGGAAACAACAATAAGACAATGGTGTACATTAAGCATAGGTTTAAACCAAAGAGCGTTACGAGGGCAACACTGAATTGATGCATTGAGTCTGGAGTGCAGGTGGGTAGGGGGAGGAACAAACCGGCAGAGGGGCTCAGAGTACGCAGTGTGACTGCTGTACTGGGAATCTGCATTTTGCATATAGGCTCGAGCAGCTGCTTTCTGTGCATGAGGTGCAAGAGAGGGTGGGAGGAAGGGGGACGCAAGAGAGAGACAAAGTAAGTCCCTGACTCCAAAAATGGAATTTGATGTCGCCTACATCCCACTTCACTGGTTGAAACTGCAGTGTGTGCTGAAGAGCCTGCACTGTGACTTCCCTTGCTTAAATGTCTAGAAATCAGCTCAAACTCAACAAACATTCCCATTATCAAGTATCAATGACCCTGATTTCAGTAAAGGACAGATACGCTGTGCCAAAGGGGATGATCAACCTTCAATGCACGAATACAATGTAGGCAAAAACAAATTCCTAAAAATAAATAAGAAACTCATTCCAGAACAAATGCATTGTATTCAGACAGTGTTGACCGTCAAACTCTTAAACATTCAGCACTAAAGAAGAATGACTCATCATTGCTCATCATCAGTCCATTGGCTTACTCTATGTGGTATGACTCAAAAAGAGGGAATACAGCAGAAAATTCCAATAAAGAAAAAAGTGATACATGTGAGTTCCGTCAATACAAATACATCCAAATTGCTTAAGAAATTCAATGTCACAACGTTTTTTTTTACGATAATGAAGCACACAGACTCACACACAAGGTTTCAGAGCAACATCCATTCATATCATCAATCTGTAAAAACTAGTTCAAACAATAAATCAAACACAGCATGTGACCACAATGGATGCTACAGTAACATCATGGTAGGCTAATACAGTCCACTGACTTGAGATAAAGTTGCATTGAACTCAGTAGATTGCCTTATTGCATCCCACAGAGATTGAGTCCCTGTAGATATTAAAATAAAAATGTTTTCTGTTAACTTGAGGGTTCCTCAAGTCAACATTTCCCCGGAGCACTCCGTTTGAGACACATTGGTCAAGTTCAGCAGCTTTGAGAATAGACTGCGTATATCCCTGTGATCATGAAAGCCACACGGGGTAAATGTGCCTGCTAACGCTCATTTTGCTTCACACAAAGATGCGTTTTCTATTAACGAAACACAGAAAGGTAGTAGCCTACTATCAAATTAAAAATAATGTATGTGCCGCCATAGAGATTTCTAAACATAAAGATATACACTGGCTACAATGAGATGTCCAAAAAGCAGAAATAGGTGAACAAACCCATTTAGAAAACGCTACTGTGCACAGACTACCATGCTTGAATAGTTTCAGGTTACAAAAAACATCCCAGCGTGGATCCCTAAAGATTCAGGACATCATCCAACACGGCATGGAACTTTTCAAAAAACAAAACATGCTGTGTTCAATCGAATTCCAAAATGCTTTACCTGTTATATTTTACCATGGCACGTGATTTACTAATCTTCGTGAAAAAAAAGTACTACAATATCATATCGGCTAGTGTAAATGTCATCATGTCCAAGATTTAAAACCGAGGTGTCACTAAAATCGCAGTCCATAAATCCACACGCCACTATGCAAGTCCTACGCACTGGGTTCTTCCCCTAAGCCACTGCGTAAATCCGACACGGAATCCCCGACACATATTTAAGTGTTAACCTTCAGAGTTAACGCTGCAAGAGGAACAAGTACAATTTGGGCATGCTGCTCTTTCTGGCTTACAGTGGATGAAGGGCATAAAGAAACCTGAAAACGGAGGGAATCCAGTCGATAAAGGGTCCCAAGTTAAGAGACATAGTAGATGTCGTTAAGATGTCCAGTAATTTCTCCCGGGGAAGTGCGATCCGAATGGACAGGTTCCGTATGAAACCCGCCCGATTGCCGGAGTGCGCAGAGCGGGCATGGCGCAGCCAGAGCAGGTGCAGCACGCCTCCCTGTTCACCTGGCTGGTGCAGTGGCAACCTCACTCCCAAAACCTGGCTATAATGGCAATAAATCAGAAAACAAACAGTCCTGGCTGTACAAACTAACGCCGTGACAAGCCTATTTTCTTACCTGTAATCAATGCAGATATCACTTCACAGCCGCAGCGACACTGCGGATAAGAGGCACTTCCAGAGCAATCCCCAACTCCTTTTACTCCCCCCAAAAAAAGAGAAATGCTTAAAATAACGTTATATCCTGATCACACGTCTTGTCCACTTTAAAATCCCCGGTAGAGGTGTAGTTAGAGGGCGATTCCTGCACAGGAAAAAATAAATTGCAGCAGACTTCCAGGAGCATCGCCGATCAGCAGGACCTTACTACGCCGCTCTGAGCGCTCTGAGACCCGGGAGCTCCACTTCCCATTCGCAGGCGAGGATACACTTTGTATGCCGTTGGAAAAGCCACTGCACCGTATGGGATACCGCAGGAGGCTGTTCTTGTGTGCGTGCGTGTGTGTGCGTGCATGTGTGTGCATGCAGAGAGCGGGTGTGTATCGATGTGACTCAGTGCGGTGCTCCTGCTCAACTGATGTGCTGAGGGTGCTGCAGCGGAGTGCGAATGGGAAGGAGGGAGTGCGGGAGAGACGGAGAGAGAGAGAGGGGCTGCCTCGGAGTTTGCAGCCTCGACGCGGATCTTCAGGCTCGGGAGGGACTAGATGGCGCTTTGCCCGTTGCAAAAGTCGACTGTTTTCAACATGGTTCCTGCGTCGTCTGCAGTGACAGGGGGGCTGTGTTTGGGTTACATTTGTAAATCCTTGGCAACTACCCTAAAGAGGCTTAGTGCGCATTAATGAGCACGATACAAAACAACAAACCGTTTATTACCATCATGTTTATGATCTAATTTCCTAGGCAATGACAGCAAAACTGAGACAATTCCACTGTGCAGTTTCATGTAGGCCTAGAGTTTTAGTGTAAGAACCTTTAAACAACTTTTAAGAAGTTGATTTTAAAGTTTACCAGCTCCACCCTTTGGTGGATATTATTCACCCGGAGAAAAAAAATATGACAGATATGAGCTTAAATTAAGCTTATGCTTTGTTAAAATAGAGGTTTATGTAATGCATTCATCCCGTTGAGAATGGGATTTGGCAAAGCCAAAGGGGAATTTACACAAATACGCTACAATACCGGGGTGAAATGATCAGATCATCGGATTTGAATATCTAATCGCAGGATCATTTAAAGATGGAGATTAGGCAACACTGAACATAATTACGACACTTGCATAGTTGTAGGGGATTAGAATCTGCATTTTTCTTCCTTGATGATCTTTTAACATGCTCGAGGAGTGCATCCTCCCCCCACACATTTGAAGCAATTAACATTCTAAAAGTCCTAATTATGTAATCGTGTCTTCTTCAATTATATAAGTAGCGTGGGGGTACGGGAATAATACCTGTTTTCATAAAATAGTCTACCAAGCCTAATTCTACTCTTCATATGAAGACAATTTAAAGCAAACCCATATTGAAGCCATGTTGCGGTCTATTTGAGCCCTTATCCATCTCAAAACAAAGGCCAACTTTTAAACGTTCTTACAAAAAGCAATTGAATAAGCCACTGACAGGATGAAAAGTTTGGGGATTTTGCAATGTGCTCAATGACAACAAGTGACGAGAGAAAAACATGTGCATGCGATTGCAACCCCTGACAATTTATTCTCTATGTCTCAGAGAAGTGCGCTCGGAGGGGTCTATTGTATCGGGGGTATCCGTGCCTGCTGCAGCATCCTCTCTGCCTCCCTCCCTTCCCCTCCCTTTCTCCCTCCCTGGTCTCATTTCCAGAGGGGTTCTTTGCTTTGAAACACTGCATCAGAGCCCCACCTACAGGCCAATGGAATCTTACAGCCCGACACCGACACATACAAATGCATACAAAGCGCCATAATGGCCGTTCATGGCCACAATTCATAGTCATTTTTTCTAGAATTTAAACATAGGGTTTAATACGCACAATGACAACTGTAAAACACCTGCAATTATACAGTACAAGTGATACACAACAATCCCGGAAACGTAAAGCCACAAGTGATTAAATGAGCTGCTGCATCATAAAGCATGCATTCTAGTAAAAACAAGCATCAAATGAATGATTACAGACGATAGAGACCTGTAACGTCAAAAGGAAACAGTAAGCGGTCTAGCAAAAATAAATTAGCGTACTTCATTTTATGGGCTATGTACTTTGTAGGGTTCATGTCTCTTAGGAGGGGAAGAAGCACCACAATTCGTAAGTGGACGTTTCAACATGTAGCTTTATGCTAGCATTTTAAAGGCGAAAAATGAACAGCAAAAAAGCTAAGACAGGCATTAATATAGTAATTACTAGTGTTTGCAAACTATCCGTTAACCAAATGGGGCTGGAAAAACTGTGAAAGAAGTCAAAAACCAGCACTAGTAACATTTTAAAAACCTTACTTACCCCAAATGGTTTTCCCAAACTCTCTTCCAAAAACGAAAACTCCGGCGTTTATATGCATTTTAAGCACTTAAGTAAACGTTAGTTCAGGCGTTACACTTTAACTGTTAAAGTTTAAACGTTAACGTTTGAGCAACTCTACTGTAAAAAAAGAAAAGAAAAAAGGAACGTTGTACTTATTAACGCCAGTTTGGAGCCAGTGATTGTGATCACGTGCACCTGTTTTTTCTTGCTTCACTCATTAGAAGCCCACTACGTGAGCTAGGCTAATGCAAAATAAACGTCACATAAAGCTTCCTTAAAGTTGTGATGGCTTGGCTTAAGCATTACATCAAATCAAGATATTAAGTCTTGTATATCGTTGCATACAAATTTCAATCAAATTCAGCCTGACATCTTTGAAAGTTCAGAGAGCTGGACTGGAATTTAAAAAAAAGATGGCTTTTGGAAAACAAATAAACACAAAGTTCAATGTCAAAAGTCACTTAGATTGACCCCTTGAATCAATTCACAATAAATTAACAATAGTGTGTTGGGTTTGGTTGCCATTTTCCCAAATCGTGATCTGACAGGCCATTGATTTCAGTGTCAGATCTCTGTTCATTTATTCTACTTTAGTCCTTGTGACAGACACCGGGGAGGACTGGAGTCATTTGAAGGGTGAAAATGCATTGATATCTACAGACCTATTGGCTTCATTTAATTATCCAACCCAAGTGCAGAGCTAAATCAACAGTCTGTGGATCTCAATATCAGATAGCTTTCAAAGCACAGCAAATCAATAGTGCTGCAATCTACAGTGACAATAGTAATTCTATGAAGGGTTAGAATCACATGACCTTATGAAATTAATGTTAAGGTGACAGGTCCATGTATAAGTCAAACATGCTTGGACCAACTGATTATAGGTCTGAATAATTATGTTTTATCATAGGAGGTCCATACTATCTGTGTGTAGCATGAGCATAAATTAATTCAAGGACGAACAGGTTTGTCTTGAGATCTTGAACACACAAGATTTGTTTTAATTTATAGTACACTTGGCAAAAAAAAATATATTCACTACATAAGCAGAACATTTATATGCGTGTCAGGCTTGGCATAACTATTGTAATGTCCATTGTTCTCTCTGACATTTTACGCAGCTGTAATACCCACGTTGTATTGGAATTGTAAATGGTAAAATGTCAATTTTTCAGATCATTTTCAAGACTTAGTCCACGTTATCTTAGAAGTTGAGATCAGTGATAATTCATTATTAAGGAAACCTCAACTGGCAAAACATTATGACCAAAATATACATTAGTAGCTGTTTCGGAGCTTTCATTGGTATCTCAAGATCTTCTTCAGCGGATGAGGTCCGATTTGTGGAATTGTACATGTTTTTTTAAACATTGTATCCAAGTTATCCTGAAAGTTTAAATGAGAAGTAAATTATTGTAGTTATTCCTAATGTTTGGGGAATATTTTATGGACAAAATTAAAGCCTTGTTTTAGACTATTGTGCATTAAGCATAGACTTAGATAGATTTTTGGTTAGTCATTTTAGAGCCAGCTAATTATTTTTGACCAAAATAACTTAGCTGTCCATTGTTATCGTAATTGTCCATTATCAGTCATTTTTGGACACCCTGCTGCCAATCAGAAATTGGGATTCACCCAGATCATGGTATAATTGGTTTTATCCAATTACAGTCTCTTGGTTAAACTGAATTATAGTTATAGTCCCAAATTGAAACAGGACATGCCTAGGTAATGTATACAAGGTGTTAAAGCTTACATTTTCAAGTTGTTATATTGAGCGTTCAGTTGATATAGTTCTGCTTTGTGAAAGCTTGCGTCTGCAAGGGCAGAGGAGGAACAGAAGATGCACGACCGGTGCTCGGCTCTTTATTCAAATTCACTGACCAATCTGACTTTCCCATTTGTCTTGCAAATGAGACGATGACTTATGGAGGCACCATGAATAGCTTTGATGAAGCCTCTTTTTTAATGCAGTCAAGTGGGTTGTAGGGAGGTCCGCGTGTGTGTCTGTGTGAACCCTGTTGCCAGCTGGCAGTGTTATTTCAGCAGCTCTCCTCATCTTTCAGACAAATGTGTGTGGTTGTCCATGCGTGCATGTGTGTGGCATCACATAAGCCTGCATTGCGTCCCTGTGTCCTTTTGAATTAACTCAGTGAACCCCTTTAAACACAGCTGTATATGGTTTAGCTTAAGCCTGTGGGGATGCAGAGATCACCCTGCAGAGGTGCACTGCTCCCGGGGGTCTTCCCCTTTCCCCTACGAGCCCCAACAAACACACTGTATCAGCCACATAATGACATTAATCACGCATCTGTCACTGTATATCCCTCAATGCGGAAGGCTGGTAAATCACAGAGCATGTATATATCCGCTTTATGTTCAATTTACAAGTCATTTCTATCCTAGGGATGATAATATTTATGAGGTGCCATGCGGAATTTAATGTGTCCATCTTCATAAAAGTATATGCTCATTCCCTTCACTCTCTCAATGGCTTGATTCCTCCTGGTTTAAATCAAACTGAAACACTGGATATGTCAGCCTCATCCATGATATCTCAATTTCGTAGAAAATATATTAGCGTGTCGCTGAACTAATGAAGTGTTATGTGCTGTGTGGACGCAATGAATGACACTCTGATAACCCATTGATTTGGATTGTAAATAGGTTTTCAATTTTCTGTCTGTTTTGTGAGCTACTAGATAATTAATTATATTGAAGCTGACATTTCTGTATATCTCGTGTGTGTGTGCAGGGGCGGGTGCGTGGGGGTGGATGGACGGGTGGGTTGAATATGTCACTCAGTCATATAATTAGTTAGTTTGCATATTGATGACTTACTGGTTTTTTGTGTAAATGTGTGTTTCAGTTTTTATTCCATCATCTCGTGTGTGTGTTTATTCATCCATGTATCATCTCCATCAGCCTCCCCGTCAGGCTAGCAGCTGTCTGTCTGTCTGTCTGTCTGTCTGTCTGTCTACATAGCTGTGTGCATATGTGTGTGTGCGTGCGTGCGTGCGTGCGTGCGTGCGTGTGTGTGTGTGTGCATCTACCAATACACTGC